ATTTTAATTCTTCAAGAAAATGATTCGCTCCACTTTGCCTCCAGCTACCTTAGGGAACAAGTGAAGAAATGCAATGCACGAATTTATACGGCACAAATGAAAAAATTCACCTCCAAGGCACCATCGCTCCAGTGTCGATCAGCAGCTTTCTTCAGTCTCGTTTGAGCTATGTTTTTAAGAATCTGCCAAGCACAATTAATAAGCATTCACAATAAAAAGATGGTGATGGAATATCTTATGGTAGATAATTATATTACAAACTCTCTTACAGTGGCAACATGATGGATTCTTTCGGCTCTTTTCTTGACATCATGATCAACTTTCTCAGTGTCTTCCCGTGCCCGAGCTAATTGAAGAAAGAAAAGAAAACGGATCAATCAGAATTTCAGGAGTGTATCACCAACATCAAATGACAAAAGTTATTATCCAAATGCTATTGTCAACTATCTCCTTCACGAATACTACTATCCAAGCAACATTCATCAAAGTACTGAACTTTGGTTCCCAGCATGAAAATTGCAAATAGCCAGTTGAATATGATTCTTTTATCATAGTGTCAAAGCTTGAGAATCGGGCAAAGAATTTACCATCAAGCTTAAGAAACTCTGAACCAAGAAATGCAACATCTTGGCGCGCACGGGCATCCATTCTCATTATTTCCCTGTTGGGTAAAAGCAAAATTAGGAAGATATTTGACATGAAGCTAATGTATCATATTTCATTTGATAAAGTAGTTTTCGAAGATGATGTATAGAGGTATTTGACAAATACTGGAATATATGATGATGGAGCCGATGAGAAGAACAGTTTGAGGTAGCAAAAATCAAACAAACACTATCTCAATGTGTTGTGATCACCAATTATCTCTCAGTGTTCGATTGTTAAACGAATTATATAGTCTTTAAAATTTGCTAGGTAGAGACATAAAGAGAACATTTAGACAATTGCAGGACATTCAGATTGATTCTACAGTATAGTCAACTGTATCAAAATCTCATTTCTAATAACGAGTCAGTCCTCTTTCTTCTACCTAAGTGGAGGCTCACAAATTATCTCCTCATACCTTGACCCCAATTCAAAGCTAAATATACAACAAATGACAAAATGTTATTTCTTTTTTCAATGGGAAAAAGGCTGGTGAGGACTATAATCAAGTTTTAGACCTCTCTGAGGTTTTTCTGGGGTGTATAAAGTACTCCCTCTATTCCATTTTACGTGACACTATTTTTGTTTCAAAGAATGACAGCTTTCTACATTTGGAAATAATTTAGATTCTTGAACTTTCTCATTTTACCCTTAATGGAATGTCTTTTTAGCCTCAGTAATTATTTTAAACTGATACAAGACTTGAATAAATAATGCATAAAATGTCAGGCATATATTGTACCGAGAAAGCAGCACAATATCATTCTTCGCCCTTTCGTTCACAAATTTGGCATCGTTGTAAGCAAATTTACAAGCTTCCGCAATTGCCTGACTTGAAGGAATAACTTTCCCGACTGTGGTTGCTTGATCATTTTCTTGTACACTGCAAAAATATAGTCCAGATATGAACTAAAATTACAATAATATCAACACAAGAAATCGAAGAAGCAACATTATAATAGTGTTGTATTTTCGAACTAAAACTAATAATAATGACAGTCTTAAATTTTCATTTATAGACAGTTCTTTTCATATTTTTGGTGGTATGCATTGATCGACCATTTGTTGTTGAACAATGCTTACCTAGAGATATTGGAATAATCACCACTGTTTCTGGCACACTCTGTCTCAGTGTCGCGTGTTTCTGTTGAGCGACATAACACAGGAGATCCCCTGAAGATGACACGGTTGCTTAGTTTTCCACATGCCTCCCAGAACATCTTATTAGAAAACTTCAGTCTTGGCATATTAGAATATCCATTGTGTTTGCTATGTTCAGTCCCTTGACTGTGGGTGTGAACCTTTGGGTGTTGAGGTGATTTGGCAGAATAATAAATGATTCCATTTGGGGTAGCCATGGTTATCTACAAGATCGTACAAGCCAAAAGCAAAATTCCCAGCTGTATCCGGAGAGACCAAAAAATATTTAACAAAGCGTTAACCGAAAACCTGAAAGGCAAAGCAAATTCTAACAAAATAAGATTCTTTAGTTTAAACTATAAATAATTGTCTAGTATCAAAATGGTTACTGACATGAATAAAGACAAAGGTTACTCTACAATGACCTCATTGGTAGAGTGTACCACAAATTAAAAAAGATAATCAAATTCCAAAGTATTAAGTATTATTGCAAAAGTAGTGCTGCCAAAGGAGTGCTTAAAGAGCACTTAAGCCCTGAACAAAGCGCAAAGCATGTTGAGTGCTTTGCCTCGCTTAGCTGTCCTTCAGTGTTGTCATCTGTACTCTATAGCTTTCCCTCAAGTTTGTGCTCAGATTTGGCAACTGCCTTTTTGTGATTCAAATTAAAAGTTTTTTTTTTTACTGCTTTGCATTTCTTGGTCCTCGTTGCCAACAGTTCATACATATACTTGAGCAGAATACACGGATTGTTATACAACAAATTTGGATCCTAGATTAATCATATAGTTCTCAATCATTAATGGCAATCAGGATCACCGAAAAAAGCACCTATGAATGCATAATAACTAGTAACTTCAAAGCACCCTAGCCTTCACAAGACCCTCAGAAGTTCAGTACTAACGATTTGACCACAATTAGTGATGTCCCCTCAAATCTCCCTTTCTTAACCAAAGATTCAATCGAAGGGTAAGTGAACTTAGTTGCCAATAAGGAAACCATTTAAGTACCTATGAGTACCCCTCCATGCCAATTCATATGACACTTTCTCGGGATTTCAGAAAATCATCGACACCATTCATTTCTATCTAATCTAGAATAGGTTCCACCAGTCATCGAAAAATGTTGTTAGTTATCTATGTTCTTTCTTTACTCTTTTCCAGCAAGAGATTCTCAAGATGAAATCTTGGAAGAATTTGATGGACACCCACATGGAAATCAATCAAAATAAAGCTAAGCAAAACAGAAAAATCATCAGTTTCAGCAACCAAGAGGTAGCAATTATGAACAGACTGAGGGGATAATAAAGATGAAATCTTGGAAGAAATTGAAAGACATCCTTATGGCAATCAATTAAAATAAAGCTAAGCAACACTGAAAAATCCTCAGTTTCAGCAACCAAGAGGTACAACTTATTAACAGAGTGAGGGGACAATCCAAATGAAATCTGGGAAGATTTTGATGGATACTCACATGGAAACCAATCAAATTAAAGCTAAACAAGCAGAAATTTCTTCAGTTTCAGCAACCAAGAGGTACAACTTATGAACAGAGTGAGGTTACAATAAAGATGAAATCTTGGAAGAATTTGATAGACACCCACATGGAACTCAGTCAAACTAAAGCTAAACAAGCAGAAAAATCCGTAGTTTCAGCAACCAAGAGGTACAACTTTATTAACAGAGTGGGGGTACAATAAAGATGAAATCTTGGAAGAATCTGATAGACACCCACATGGAAACCAGTCAAACTAAAGCTAAGCAAGCAGAAAAATCCTCAGTTTCAGCAATCAAGAGCTACACCTTATAAACAGAGTGAGGGTACAATAAAGATGAAATATTGGAAGAATTTGATGGACACCCACATGGAAAACAAAGCAAAGAAACTAAACAATTTCACCTTAGAATAAGAAAGACAGATGAATGAAGTAAGTCAATAGCACACTAAGGAAAAGACTTACCTTTGCTACCCAGCACAGAGAGAAGGAGAGAGGTGTGTGTGTGTCGTGGGGGGGGGGGGGGGTGTTAGTAAAGATGAAATCTTGGAAGAATTGATGGACACCCACATGGGAAAATAAGCTAAATAAAGCAAAGCAACTACATAATTTCATCTAGTAACAAGAAAGATAGAGATGAAGGAATCAAGTAAGTAGCACATTAAAGAAAAAGACTTTACCTTTGCTACAGAGTACAGAGAGAGAGAAAGGGGGTGGGGTTGGTGGAAGTATATTTGGCTAAAGGGAAGAAGGGGTCCTTGCTGAAATTGGATGTAGTGAATGGTGAAGAAAAGAGTAAGCATTGCAAAATTGGAGAATTTGTGGCCACAAGCTTAGCATATGGCCTCTTATTGTCCAACACTACCTTACAACAGAAAATTAACTACTGGGGTATAGTAGTTGGAATAAGAGAAACACTCATTTGCAATTGGAGGATTTGCTTGAGAAGTTCTAGATAATTGTCTTGTATATAGATGTTGTCCTTTAGTTATAGGTAAATAGTAGTACTAGTATGTATTTCATCTTAACTTATAGTTACTGCTGAAGAATTGAGGTCTCGAGACATAAAATACTAGGTGATTTTTTCTGTTTTAGTTTTGTCCATGTTTTAGTTTTGGTGGACAGTGTTACCTATACTTATTACAGGTAACAAGTAACCTACGATAAATGAGAAGAAATCACCCTAATGGTTTTGTATCTACTGAGATTTGAACCCAAGATTTTGTAGTTCTTAACCCTTTTCATCGACCATTACGCTACACCCATGAGTGCTTTTCACAATTATATTCATCATGTGTTTGTGCGCTAGTGTAACAAAGATTTGTGAAGTTGGCTGTGTTGATTTTGAATACATGTTATAAAAACAGATACTAGCAACTGAAAAATCTTGTGAAGTTGGCGGTGTTGATTTTGAATACATGTTATAAAAACAGATACTAGCAACTGAAAAATCTTTAGAAATTTGTTAGAAAGTTTGCCCTTTTGCTTAGATATGATGAAGAATGTTCTTCTAACAGTTACATTTATCATGTCTTTGTGTGCTAGTGCAGGAAAAATTTGTGTTTGCTGATGATTTGTGAAATCAGTTATGTTGATTTCGAATACGTGTTATGAAAACAGATACAAGCAAATGAAAAACTGTTAGAAATTTATTCTTTTCCTTAATTTTGCTGAAGAATGTTCTTTAGCAGATACATTGATCATGTGTTTCTGATGATTTTGAATGTGTTAATGAAAGCAGATACTTAGTATCAAGAAACAAGAAGGTATAAGGAACAGAACTCATTTGTATGATTTACTTGAAAGTGGCCTTAATATGTAAGGTTTACATTTTGGAAGCAAAAAAGTAATAGCAAGAATACATGTAATACTCAACATAATAAAACCAAACATTTCTCCAGTAGGGGTTCACCCAGAGGACTACAACCGTTACGAGCACCACATTTGCAAATGCCACAAGAAATGAAATATAGAATGACTCTATATCTAGAAAACCAGTATCGTCTTCACAACAATCTGGTTCAAGAGGTGATTTCGGTATCTCTTTAGGCTCTGAGCAACTGATGAGCAGTGGAGGACCACAAAGAAAAGGATTTCCTTCATAACTGCTTTCATTAAAAGTTCCAAACTGTGCAATACGCTGTGGAGTCATACCTGTTAAATTATTGTGTGCCACACTAAACACTGCTAGAGTTGTCAATTCTACAAGTTGAGTAGGAATACTCCCAGTCAAGTTGTTGTATGACAAGTCCAAACTCTCGATATTCAGGAGTTTCGAGAATGCTGATAGTATTGTTCCAGTTATGTGGTTATGTGACAAGTTCAACGCACGAATTTGAGCAAGATTACTGAGCTCCTTAGGTATGTGACCACTTAACTGGTTGCAAGAAAGATCAATTCCGGACATATAATCAACAATGCTACCTTCATAGGAGTATGTAATGTGTTTGGTCATAAATTCTGCTCCAACCCATACATAGTTATCTAGAAACATGATTGCCGATGAATACTGGATCGAGAATTTTACCTCTATCGCAGCGTCTCCTCCAAACGTCTGGAATACTGAATATCCAAATGATGGACTGTATGGGTATGCTACTATGACACCTTCTTGTTGCATTATGTTCCCAATGCAACGAGGAATAGGTCCCGAGAGATTATTGTGAGAAAGATCCATAATTCTCAAGTCACTAGCATGACACAATTCTGTGGGAATGGTGCCTTGAAGATGATTTCCTTTCAAAAGTAAGGTGGTTATACCAGAACTATTCCACCATTTTGGAATGGAACCACTGAAGTTGTTATCTCCGAGATCCAACACTCTTAAATCTGAGTTTGAGAACATGTTGAATTCCCCTTGTAGCTTGTTTTTACTCAAATACACATGTTTTAAGTGTCGGAAACTACTAAAACATGATGGAATCACACCAACAAGGTTGTTTTCAGAGATATCTAACACCTCAAGTCCTTCAAGTCTACAGAAATCAGGTGGAATATGACCATTTAGATGGTTTTTGGACAATGCAAGGGAGGTTAAGGAGGAGATATTACCAAGCCAGGACGGTATGTTTCCTGACAATCTGTTGTAACTTAAGTCCAATGTATGTAAAGGAGCAGTGGATAACGTCTGTGGAATTGGGCCGGAGAAGTTGTTCCCATCCAAGTATAAGTATCGGAGATTGTTAATGTTGGCTGAAACTGGAAATATTTCCCCTTTCAACATGTTATTCGACAATCTCAGTAAAAATAACTTGGATCCTTTACGAGCCAATCCTATCGGTAGCTCTCCTTTTAACTTATTGTATGACAAATCCAAGCATTCAAGGTTTTTCATGTCAGCAAAACTTGAAGGCAACATGCCTTCAAGCATATTGCTGGACATTGTTGATATCACGAGATTTGGGAAAATGGACCCAATGTTAGCAGGAAGTTGCCCCCGAATCTTGTTGTTTGAGATATCGAAAGCTTTCAGATTAGGAAGTAATGGCAATTGAAGAGATCCAGTGAATGCATTTCCATCCAAGTAAACTTCTCCAAGTTTAGGATTGTTTTCTAATAACCAATTTGGAAAGTCTCCACCAATGTTGCATTTCGAGAGATGAAGAAGTCTCAAGTGATGTTGAGAATGAAGAAAGTTTGGCATTTGAGAGCAGTTGAATAAAGATAAGGCTTCTAATTGAAACTTTGGGATCCAACTTTTAGAAGTAGTTTGTACAATTACCGAGTTGTAGTCAGCAATGACAAACTTAAGTTTTGAATGGTTAGCAAATGACTCGAAGGAAATTGGTACTTCAAAGTTGTTGTTTGCTATCAAGAGGTATTCAAGGGACAAGAGACTTGAAAGTGGAGATAAAGCAATGTTTCCAGTAAACTGATTTTGAGTGAGATCAATTACTCGAAGAAACGCTAAATTTCCAAGACATGTAGGGAGTTTTCCAATGAGGCTGTTTCCGCTGAGACTTAGTTCTTCAAGATATTTTAGATCACACAAGCCTATAAAATGAACAAGTATATAATTGTTAAACATGTTCAATTCTGTTATGCAGAAAATACAAGATTAACATGACAGTAGTCCTACGTAGCACCATCTAGAAACACGAAAATTTAAAGGATCGATGCTATGTCTGAAATTACCTTGAAGTGGTTGAGTTCCATTGAGGTTACAGTAAGCTACTGATAATACTTTAAGAGATGACATGACACCACTGCTCCGCAGAAAGTTCTTATCCAATGTGATTCCATCCAGCAATAAATACTCTATATTTCTTAAAGCTCCCAACTCTTTCGTGCAAAAGAAACATAAAAGAATCATCAACATGTAGCCATAGGTGTTACAAAAGTGCAGCGTAGACGCATGAAGTAATAGTAACTAGCAAATGACACCTAAAATGGTGGAACAACATATTTTTAACCAAGACACTGATACTGAGACATATAGAATAATATCTCCGCGTGTTATCTATGGTTTTTCTAACAATAAAATCAACTGAAAGAAGAAACTTTAAGTACCTTCATTTGGTATAAAACTCTGGAATCTGTTGTACCTTATATCAAGCTTCTTCAATGTCGTACTAGATGTATTCAACTCTGTCCAGATATTCATAATAATAATGTTAGGAAGGTACGGATAAAAAAAGAAGAAGAGCTTTTCTAGAACATTTTCATAAGTTTACTTACCTAGAGCAGAGAGAACATTTTCATCCTCTAGATTATTATTGCTCAAATCTAGGATCTCCAGCTTGTCTAACCCTGACAATCTCTCAGAACCTGATCCAATTTTGTTGTCTGTGAACCACATCTCTGAACGTGATGCAATGTTGTTACTTGAGAGGTTCAGTGACTTGAGAGATGAAAGCTGACTAAGAGACTGAAAGATGCTGCGATTGAACTGATTCCCTGACAAGTCAAGTCTTTCTAGTTTCCTCAGTGGTCTCAGTTTCTCGAAACCTGTTACCAAATTAACAAGAAACTTAAAATGGACATGCTAAATTATGTGACAGAGTCAAGTAGATTGTACAATGAACTTAACATTCTTAAACCAGTATATTGTTGGTTTCTGAAGGGTGATTAGGGCGTCATGTGGAAGCTTACAATTGCAATCAAGACGGTGATAAATTAGATGACAAATAAAGCGATACTAAAACATAATATTATTAATATGAAAACTAATTTAAAAGAAAACATTATAACTGTTGAGAGAATAAATCTCCACATAAACTAAACTCTTTAAATGTCTACATTGTGGATGTTATTGTGTTTGTGTTAGAAGAAACAAACCTATATTTATAGAGTCCTAAAACCTTTTCTTACTAGAAAAAGAGTCCTAAAAGGAGAGAATAAACCAAACATGAAAGAATATTATATTTTCCTTTCAAGAAAAGTAAAAACATTTATGGTAATGTTTTGTCTTTTCTTTAAGGAAAAATAAATCTTAAATTATGATAAGAAAATCAGGGCAAAACCCTAACATATATAGTTAAACCTTTGGAAGCTGTAATTCAAGTTTGTATTGTGATCATACTCCCTCCGTTTCATTTTATGTGACATTCTTTCTTGTTGGTGTTTTTTAAAAATGGGGCAACACAAAAAGATTGAAAATGTCTCTCCATGGATTGAACTTTCAATAGCTTTCAATAATTTTATTAAGCATTGAGGGGCTTTAAATAACCATCATAAAACACATAATCTGCATAATTTGAAATTTAAAACAACCTAAAATATCTCAACAACATAAACAAACTAACTAAAATTCAAAATTCAAATTTATTCAAACTAAATAACTTATTTTGCTAAAAGTTATTGCAGTAACTAAAAGCAAACTTCAACACTCCTCCTTTGCTTTAGTTACTTCAATTGAAAAAAATGTTCCTCCTCAATTTTTGCTTTGGTAGTTGATGCTGGAATTTTTTCATTAATTATGAACTTGCAAAATTTCTTCTTTTTTCTTTTTCTTCTTTTGATTTTGTTCTTCAAAAACACATGTGATGACATTGCATTGTGTAGAAGTTTTTTTGAAAGTGCTTTAATCTGAACTTCATAGAGAGATATTGTAAGGGTTTTTCTTCCATCACAACCTCACATATCACATAGGTTTCAAAGTATGGTTTTATTCTCACAGACCAAATTTGATAGTTTTCGTCTGTGAAAATTTGTGGGGAATTCAAAGAGAGACTGTTGCTTACCATTATTTTGGTTAAAAATGATTTAGCAAAGCCTGTGCGTTGAAAAAAGCACCGGTTGAAAAGGTAGTCTTGATGGGTTAAAATGGGTAGCCTTGATGGGTTAAAAAGGTAGCCCTTACGGGTTAAATATATATGGTAGTTCTTTGGAAGATTTCACAGATCCCTTAAGATCAATGAAGCTCTTGATACCACTGTTGGTGTTTTTTAAAAATGGGGCAGCACAAAAAGATTGAAAATGTCTCTCAATGGATTGAAATGACTTTCAATAATTTTATTAAGCATTGAGAGGCTTTAAATAGCCAACATAAAACACATAATCTGCATAATTTGAAATTTAAAACAACCAAAAATATCTCAATAACATAAACAAACTAACTAAAATTCAAAATTCAAATTTATTCAAACTAAATAACTTATTTTGCTAAAAGTTACTGCAGTAACTAAAAGCAAACTTCAACATTTCTGTTTTATCCCACTTAAAAAGAATGACACCTTTTTGTATTTAGAAATGGATCTTTAGAACCATTTTTCAGATATGTAGTACTCTATCTGCTTCATTTTATATGACATTCTTTCTGTTTTAGTCTGTTTAAAAAAAGTACAACACAATAGAATTATCATTACATGTTTACAACCACAAGCTTCAAGGTACCAAAAATCATTCCTTTGTGCCTAGTCAAACATGGCCATATAATATAAAACGGAGGGAGTAGTATAATCTCTTTCGTTCTATATTATGGGAGCGTATATAGAGAGAACATACCTTCATTCTTCACCCAGCCTGCTAATGAATGTCCAGGTATGATCAAAGCTTTGAGATTTTTGAAGGGAATAAATAGAGATGCATTAAAAAGCCAGTTCCTCAACATATCATCTCTATCTGTAACATTTCTTAGTTGTTCTTCTCGACTAATTTGCTTAGCAATAATGGACAATTCTACGACTCTTCTAGTGATGTTGCTGCAAACAATTCCCTCCCATTGACAACAATCCGAGGTTTCATTAGCCCCCCACGATGACAAGTAATCGTTGCCTATACTGTAGTTTATGTTTGCCTTGAGTTGCAAAAGAGCAGTCTTTTCTTCATTCAAACAACAATAACAACACAACCATCCATTTGCCATGAACAAAATCAACAACCACCAATGTACTATCTTGCTATTAGCCATGTTTTGCTTCTTTACCTACAAGTTGACAACACTATAAGATATATCCGAACTATATATAAGAAAAAGAAGCTTGTTCGTTATCTGTGCTGGTGAGAGGTAGCAGGCATCTTAAGGAATAGTGCAATAATTGATGTAGACTAGAGTGGAATTTTGTGCAACTACTTTTCTTGTTATGTCCCTTTCAACTTCTGTATTTTACTCTTTAATATGTCTTGTTGTTCTTCTATCTCTATATTTTTCTCTAATTTTCATCAAAACATTGCTTGCAATTTTGAGTTGGATTTGAGTTGACTAGCACCATCATTGACTTGACTTGAGACACTTACTCATGAGGAAACATTTCCCACTAGTATCACTTGTATAGAAGTTTCATTCAAACACTTCTCTTGCTATATACTCCCTCCGTTTCAATTTGTTTTTTTGATTTTGACCTGATACGGAATTTAGGAGAGTAAAGAAGACTTTTGAATCATATGGTCTTAAACATGTCACGTGAAAAGTTTGATGTAAAGAGTTGCAAAAAAGAAAAGAGACATTCGTTTTGAAACAGACTAAAAAGGAAAGTAAGACAAACAAATTGAAACGGTGAGTAAATTTTGATAATTATTGTGCTTAACTAGTCAGCAAAAATTAATTCCTTAGCCATTTTCTTCTTCTTTTTTTTTTTTTTTTTAGTTATAATTTTTGTGTGCTAATGTCAAAAAAATTCAGCTACTTTAGGGGTTTACCAAGTCTTTAGCACTTATTTCAGTGGACCATATAGAAGAAATGGCTCATTGAGCAGTATACATATTTTTCAAACCATTAATTGCACTGAAGAATTTTGGCTATTCGACTGTTTTAAAAAAATATGACACATTTTTATATTTTGAAATAATTTAATTAATCTGGCAAATGCTTAAAGAAGGCACAAGCAAATCAACACAACATTCACTAGTATTAATGAACTTGATAGGCACCAACATTCCAAGAACAACTCACACATACATTTACATAGGAATGGCAATGGAGCGGGGCGAGGCAGTTGCAGGGGCAAACCCGCATAAATCCGCGGAGACTTTAATCCATCCCGCACTGCCCCACATAGACTAATTTACCTTTTCAACCCTCCCCACCCCGCCCCGCATAAGTTCTCTTATTATTTTCTTTCACTTTGTTATTTAGCTTTAACATTCGACTATAATTTTTTTTGAATATTCAATTTATAAATTCTAATTATATATGAAACACAATTAAAAATTTAACATATGCTGCAATTTAACAAAAAGATAAAAATAAAAAATTAAAAAAAATCAACAATTACACAGTAAAGTAGAGGCTAGAGTGATTAAGCTAGAACATCAACACTTACACTGTAAACCCGCACCCGCCCCGCCCCGCTAAGAATTGGAAAAACCATATTTCAACCCCCCCGTATCCACCTGCACCCGCAATCATGTCCCCCGCCCCTCCCCACATAGGCCTAAGCCCGCTCCGCTCCACACCCACCCCGCCTCATTGCCATCCCTACATTTACATTAGGGGTATACATGACCGGGTTGGTTCAGGTTTTTTAAATATCAAACCAAACCATTTGTGTAAAAAATTTAAATTTATAAACCAAACCAAACTAATAAAATTTGGATTTTTTTTGGGTTTTTCAACCTCGGGTTGGTTCGGGTTTTTCAAATACCAAACCAAACCATTGTGTCGAATTTTTAAATTTATAAATCAGAGCAAACTAATAAATCTCAGATTTTTTCGGTAAAGTTTGCATACAAACATATAATTAACTTGTGCTTCAAATATTTATTTAGTCCAACCAAAATACAATTATCTAAGGTGTTTCTTAAAAAAATAACACAAAATATGGTATGAGTGCCGATGACACTAAAATATTCAATAAAAAATAATAATGAAATCATCATATAAAATAAATATTACAAATTCATAATGAAAATGATCATAATTTAAAAAACTAAATCATGCTAAAATAAGTTTAATAAGTATTAGTTACATTACTAAATATTTAAGGAAAATTAAAATTAGATTATGTATTTTAATTGTCTAAACCAATGTAAAACTAAAGAACAAATATTCAATATTATTGTCATTCTTAGTGTTGAATTGATTTTCTTTTTGTATTAGTATTAATTTGATTTTGATTTAAGTTTTATTATAATTATCAACATCTATGAACTATAATCTTTATTGGACTATTCCGAATTCTATGTTTTAAACTTGAAATAATATATTAAAAGATAAAAACTATGAAATAGTATAAAAAATATTTTTAAATTATATCAAAGTAAATATTTTTATGTATAAAATAAAATTTTAAAATTACATATATAATGTTAGGTTGGTTTGGCCTCGGGTTATTTTTTTTAAGTTAAACCAAACCAACCCAAATATAATCAGTTTTTTTTCCCAATACCAAACCAAGTCAAACCAAACCACTAGTCGTGTTTTTTTTTTCGGTTTGGGGTTTGGTTCGATTTTGTACACCCCTAATTTACATAATGAAATATTACATAATTATTAAAGTCTTGAACTTTTGGAAGCAAAGTAATCGTAACATGAATACATCAAAGACTTGATATAATAAAACCAGACATTTCTCCAGGAGGGGTTTACGCAAAGTACTACAACCACTGCAACCACCACATTTGCATATGCTACAAGAAATGAAATACAGAACCACTCCATAGCTAAAAAAGAAGCATCATCTTCAGAGAAATTTAGTGCAGGAAGGTATGTTGGAATCTCTTTTGCCTCTGTGCAACTGATGTGCAATGGAGGACCAAAAAGAAAAGGATTTCCCTCATAACTGTTTTCATCAAAAGTTGCAAATTACTGCGCTGTACGCTGTGGAGTCATACCTGTTAAATGAACACCAAACATGTAACTAAGAATGCTACCTTCATATGAATAAGTATTATATTTGGTTGTGAACTCTACTCCAACCAACGCACCAAAGCTATTTGGAAATGAAATTGTTGATGTTGTCTCGAATGAGTCATCTACGTCTATCAAGGTATTTCCTCCAAACATCTCGAAGTCTCCATATCCAAATGATGGACTGTAGTATACATTTGTGTCCCATGGATTCTGCATTATGTTTCCCAAGCAATGAGGTATAGGTCCTGAGATATTATTGTGAGAAAGATCCAATATTCTTAAGTAACTTACATAACTGTGGAGGAATGGTGCCTTGAAGACGATTTCCTTTCAAGAGTAAGGCAGTTAACTCAGAAGTTTCGTCCAACCATTTTGGAATTGAACCACTGAAGTTGTTATCTCCAAGATCCAACATTTGTAGATGGGAATTTGAGAACATATTAAATTCCCCTTGTAACATGTTTTTGCTCAAATACACACGTCTTAAGGCTCGTAAAGCACTAAAACATGATGGAATTGCGCCAACAAGGTTGTTTTCAGAGAGATCTAACACCTCAAGTATTTCAAGTTTACAATAATCAGGTGGAATATGACCTCTTAGATGGTTTCCGGACAGTGCGAGGGAATGTAAGGAGGATATGTCACCAAGCCACACTGATAAGTTTCCTGACAAGTTATTGTAACTTAAATCCAGTGAAAATAATGAAGCAGTGGATAACGCCTGCGGAATTGGGCCTGAGAAGTTATTTCCATCCAAGAACAGATATGCAAAATTGTTGATGTTAGTCAAAACTGGAAATATTTCCCCTTTCAACATGTTATTCGATAATCTCAGAAAATTTAACTTGGATCCTTTACGAGCCAATCCAATAGGTAGATCACCTGTTAGCTTATTGCCTGACAAATCCAAGCATTGAAGGTCTTTCATGTCACCAAAACTTGAAGGCAACAAGCCTTCAAGCATATTGTTGGACATTTTGAATATCATGAGTTTCGGATAAATGGACCCAATGTTAGGAGGAAGTTGTCCTTGAATTTTGTTGCTGGAGATATCAAAAGCTTTCAGATTAGGAAGGAACAGAAATTCAAGAGATCCATTGAATGCATTTCCATCCAAATAAACTTCTCCTAGTCTGGGATTGTTTTCTAACAACCAATTTGGGAAGTTTCCACCAATGTTACATTTCGAGAGACAAAGAATCCGTAAATGATGTTGATACTGAAGGAAACTTGGCATTTGAGAGCAATTGGATAAAGACAAGGCTTCCAATTGGAACTTTGGAGTCCAGCTTTTAGAATAAGCTTGTACAATTATCGAGTTGTGGTCAGCAATGACAAACTTAAGTTTTGAATGGTTAGCAAATGGCTTGAATGAAATTGGTATTTCAAACTTGTTGTTTGCTAACAAGAGATATTCAAGGGACAAGAGACTTGGAAGTGGAGATAAGGCAATATTTCCAGTAAAGTAATTTTAACTGAGATCTATTACCCGAAGAGATGTTAAGTTTCCAAGACATGCAGGGACTTCTCCAGTGAAGTAGTTTAGGTGGAGACTTAGTTCTTCAAGATATTTTAGATCACACAAGCCTGCAAAATGAACAAATAAATGATTGTTATTCATGTTCTTATATAGTTGTTATGCAGAAAATATTAGAAACACGGATTGTTCTGAAATTATTCATTGTTCTATTGACGTATGTCTGAAATTACCTTGAAGAGGTAGGACTCCACTGAGGTTGCAATTAGCTACTGATAACACTGTAAGAGATGACATTGCACCAGTACTCCTGAGAAAGTTCTCATCCAATGTGTTTCCATCCAACAGTAACCACTCAATATTTCTTAAAGCTCCCAACTCTTACATGCAAAAGAAACATTAAAAGTATGCTTTAAACTGTAAATGTTTGAACTAAAATGGCAATAGCGACTTGCAAATGACGCCTAAAATGATGGAATGTCATATTTTTAACCAAAGTGTTTGACAAAGAGAGTTATTAAAATAACATCTTTGCAGGTAAGTCTATGGATTTATACACATTTCATCAAATCCAAATGGAGCCTGTGGAGTTTGTGAATGATTTGTGACTTTTCAGTTCTAAGTTTGTGATTTCGATTGGGTACCAATAAGATATATTTACATAGCAAGATGTACAAGGAGGTAGAATAAA